ATGTTTAGTCTGTAATTTTTTAGAATTGATGTGCGAGTAATGACTTTCACTTAGCTTCAACTATTATGTGTGTATTTATTGGCATGTGATAGAATTCTCTTTTCCTTTTCATTGAATTCATTTTCATACTCTAATTGTATTATTTGTACATAGGCAAATCATGCTCGAGATGGCAACTCGCTGATATGGCTGGTGCAAGGAATGAAGCCATCATTAGAATTCAGACCGACAACGTGGAGGGATGCCCAGGACTAATTCAATGATGATTGATGATGATATAATAAAAACTGCAGTCTGCATCAGCACAAATTTCTAGGCCTAAGTAAAGGTATTCAACCCAGAACTCTGCTTAGCGCTAAAAATTGCCCTCACCCAACCTTGATCCTGTTTGACCCACTTCTAAAGAGTCAAGATATATGACTAATCCTCCCCGTTCGTATTTTCTTATTGACTCTTTCTGACCCTGTAGGTTGGGGCGGGTCGGGAAGAATTGGATTAGTGGGTCGGTCCTAATCAAGTGGAATCCCAATCCCTTCACTCTCACTTGCTTTCTCTCCCATTCCACAAGTGGGTAACATACAGTAATCCGGCCAACGGGCCGGGTAATAAGCTAGTTTGTTTAATACTCACAGAGAAAAATTAAAGCTGGCGTAGGTTTATCCTACCTCTTCACCTTTATTAATGTTTGCTTAAATGAGGATTAACGAAACAAAAATCATCATTAGTTAATTAATTGCCTCTGTTAGTCGTTCGGCTAATTATTCGTCTTCGTCGATCCTTCATGCTTTTGCTTCCCCACCCAGCTGCTCCGCGATATTACAAGACCGCCGATTTGTTTATTCAAGTTGTGGTACAAAATTCAGAAGCTACAAACATACATAATATGTATTGTATTATTGTAAGAGTTAAATTTAAGATATGTCATTTTTGGGAAACATTTGTTCAGACGGTCAAAAAGTTAATAGAAATACTTGATTTCATGTCGATAGATCATCAAGAACTTAAAACGGAATTTTGAAACATGATATGGAAGACAGTTCTAGAAGCACGATCCAAGAGGTTTTGTGACCTCTTTTAATCAAGCCTCCTTAATAAGTTCTTGTATCTGAGACCTTTGACCTTCCTCATTGGGAGGAGATGAGAGTGAATGTTGATCTTAGTGTAATGGGGATCACAACATCAGAATGGTTCCTTAAATACTAGTTATATGTCATGGACTCACATGCATAAAATTCTAGATGAGTAAGCATTGAGTTTAAACCCATTTAGTTCGATATTAAATTTGAGTAATCATGTGGCTCCATGCATTAACTACTTATAATTAGCCCATAAAAAAACAAAGACAATGTCTATTTTTTACCCAAACCTTTTTCAGATTCTTTTATTTTAACCAAACCTATTGAATTCCTAAAAATTATCCCAACGTTAACTCTCCGTCAACTTTTCTGTTAGTAATGTTGACTAAGTATGACCATAATGAGTTGACTTCCTACGTAGCGGTCAGAATACCATCATTTACTATTTTTAATAAAAAGATTATCAAAAAACAAAACAAAATCCCACCTCTCACGTGGACGAAGTAAGTAACGGTAACAGAATGAATGCCCAGACTTTGATAAATTATAATACGTTTGGATAATAAATAGAATTTCTATAGGTTTGGTTAAAATAAAAGAATCTGAAAAAGGTTTGGGTAAAAAGTAGACATTGCCCTAAAAACAAATAACCAATACATCTGTTGTAGATTGGTAACTCGCGCGCGGCTTAAATTGGCGAAAATGAAAATTCCTAACAGGTGTTGCTGATACGAATCATATCACCTCATCATCACCTCTTGATATGATCGTACCAGCGGTAGTAAGAAACGAGATTTTGTAAGTTTTGCAATTCTAAGAGTTCTATATACTCTGACTTTTTCCTTATTATAGTCCTCAAATAATGGATCAAATTCAAGATTATTCTTGGGGAAGCTGACACTAGTGTTGAATCATCAACCTTGCAAAGGGTCGTCGTCGTCCCTTCAAGCTTGACCACAAGAAGGGGTCGTTCTTTGGGAAGCGACACTTTGCGGGAAGGAGAGGCCATACATGACCAAAAGAGCTGTCCCACAGCACATTATAATTATACACAAGAAGGAAGAAGTAGTACCAAAGAGGCAAAGACAATTTCAAATCCATATTCTCTCTCGTTAATGAATTATTAGTTAGTTTTCTCAAATATTATCAAGAACATAAACACAAGAATACAAGTCGAGATTTACGTGGTTTCTCCAACATTGATTGTTGGGACTAGTCCACGACACCAGGCAAAAAGACTATTATTCTCCAAAATTCTGTGTACAATTCGGCAGCCCTAAACCTCATATATACGCCAAAGGTAACACAGCCGAGTTGGTCGGGAGTGTGGTCTTTCGGGCTTGAGAAGTGTGAGGTCTCAGGTTCGAACCCCGCTACACCACTTGATGTTCCCGAAGGCACCGCGAGTGCTGGAGACGAAGTCTTCTCCTAGTATCGGATGCTAGGCCTTGAAATGTTGCTGATGCAGGTACTCCCCAGGTTTAGTAGACAACACTGCCACAAAGTGGCATGTGGGGTTGAGGTTCTCGATACTAATTACAATATGGTACTTAACTTATAACAAGTTTCCAACCAAATCAAAAGCATCCAATATATCCTGCAAACCAAACAGGGCCAACTCGACGAGTTGATTCTTCTGCTTATTTATTTTCCAGTGGAGAGCATCCTTACTTTCATTGTCCACTACCCTCGATTCCCTTTTAATTTTCCATATGATAACAACACATGACATTTTTTCTTGTTTATTTCCACCGGCTGAGAATCTATCTAAAAGACTAAAACGGCCTTATCCTCAGCTTGGAGAAATTTATGCATCTTGTTTTTCGAAATGTTCCTCTATCATATCATATTGTGTTGCATGTGCTCTAACCGTATTTTTCATTCCATCATATCATAGTGTTGCATGTGCTCTAACATATTTTTCATTTGAGAAAAAGTCCAACATACGTTAATTTTTATTCTTTGAACATGCTGAATATCGAAATTCACCGAAAAATTTTACTGAGGTTTATGTTTTCTCCTATATATAGGAAAATCGGATATCCCAATTATGTGAAGATAGTTGAGGATTGGTTACAAGAGTTGAAAATCCCAGCTTCATTCTCTTTTTGTAGGCCAGCCATTAAAACCTAGTCAGTTCAAGTATTGGTAGAACGCTTCCATATCCTTCAATCAGAAGGAGGTGGATTGTACAATAAAACTAATTAACTTGAACATGGCTCGAAGGTGATTTTGTATGTTGGAACCAAACATTATTATCATAAATGATCGGGTTAATAGCATTTTGTACCCCTCTATTATCGTAAATTAACAAACGTACCATTCTACTAAATTTTCGCACAAACATACCCTTCTAATATTAAAACTTAACAAGTTTACCCTTCCGTCTAATTATCCGTTAAGTGGCCGTTAAAGACCCCGAAAAATGACCCAATTGCCCCTCCTTTACTCTTAATTTCAATTTTAATAATTTTATCTATTATTTATTTATGTCCCAAACAATTAATAAAAGAACAAACCCTAAACAATTCACCGTCTGTCCCCTGTTCTTCTACCCTGGCGGTTCGTTGATCGACTCGGTGGCGCCTGCTCCTGGCTTATCCTTGCCGACGGTCACAAGAAACCGTTCGATCGGCTGTTTCCATCTCCTCTCGCCATCCCGCACTCCGATCTCGCGCTTCCGTACTATGCTGCCTCCGCCGATAGCTTCGATTCCGACGAGGGGAAGTTGAATTTCAGGTCGATGAATCCAGAGTCGTCGACGGCAATAGTGAAATTTGAAATTTCCTTCACTGAGCGAGAAAACCCGCAGGATCCAATAATCCCTCTTCTGATTCTCGACGTCGAACCCGATGCTGCAACGACTTGTTGGAATTCGAACGCTTTAGAGTGTAGGAAGGTTGTGATTGAGCATCGTTCTCGATCAGGAAGGAGAAACGGCCAACGCTGCCGACTTCCAGATTGGAATGCTGTTGGTGGAATGGGAGTCACGATTGAGGGAGATGTCGCAGTAGTAGAGGAAGAGATTTCTTTGAAGCAGTGGGCGCAGATTCCGACCGGCGGGGTGGGGGACAAGGGTGCCGCTTGCAGGGATGGTAAGAGGAAGAGTCGTGGTGGAAGATTGAATCGCCATTGTTGTTGGTTCGGGGCCCAACTTGTTGTTCTTTTAATTAATTGTTTGGTCTTTGGGACATAAATAAATAATTAAAATAATTAAACTAAATTAGGAGTAAAGGGGTTAATTGGGTAATTTCCCGGTCACTTTAACGGCCACTTAACGGATAATTTGACGGAAGGGTAAACTAGTTACATTTTAATATTAGAAGAGTATGTTTGTACGAAAATTTAGTAGAGGGGTACGTTTGTTAATTTACGATAGTAGAGGGGTACAAAATGCTATTAACCCTAAATGATCAGCATTCAATATACAACAGTTAAAACACAACAAAATCGTGATGACCGTAACATGATCACATCCTTTTGCCTCTTACCGATTTGCTATGATTTCACAAACATAGCAAAACAACATCATAAACTAGCTAGGTTTATATATTAGTATATTATGCAAAGCTAATTGGCAATAATCCAATCCCAAGTGAGAGAAGCCCCTTGATTGATGGCCAAGTTTTCCTAAAGAATTCCTAACCTAATATTCCTTGTCCCTTTGCCCTTTTTTCTCTTCTTCTCCCCCAACTAGCTTAGTGCATCTCTAAAGATACATCAATGGACAAGAATCCTTTCCATCATGCCAAGGGAGGGCGGCTTCTACACGCGTCTTTCGGTCCACGTGTCAACGCCTCCCATTTTGACCCCTTTTTTAATTCTGGCGGGTCTGGCCCAATGGCCAAACTTCTCGCACCCAAAGGCCAAAATCCCCCCGCCCCCTTCCCTTATAAATACCATCGCAACAAAACCCTATTTCCTCCCCCAATTCCCACCACCGCCACCTGCAAAAAAAAACTCCCGACGACTCGCTTAGCTGCAGCGGAGCTGTTTTCTTCTTCTCCGTCTTTCATCGGAGATCTCCACTCGAGAGAGAAGAAGATTCGCAGCTTCCGCTTCCGCCAGCAAAGCCGGAAATCGTTTTCCTACGAATAAGTAATCCGTCGCCGCGACAAATAAAAGAGATCTTGGAAAATGTCTCGTTCCGTCGCTGCCGCTAAGCTTCTTCCCGTCTCCTGCTCCATTCTCCGGTGAGAATACGTCAACCTTCTTTCATTTTTCTAGTCCTGAAACGAAGATCTGGATTTAAAACTCCCGAGATTCTCTGTTTGATTTTTCCCCGACGAAGAAGTATTGATTTAGTTCGATTTTTTTTTTTTTCCTTTGACAGGAGAGGTTATGCTGCATCTGCTGCGGCGCCGTTGGGAGCTGCGTCGGCGGCGTTGGGCCGAGTGCCGGCGGGAAATATGGTGGGGAAAGCAGTGGAAGAGAGGTCGCCTGCAGCGGTGGTGAAGGAGGATTCCGGTGCTGCATCTGCGTGGGGACCCGACCCGGTGACCGGGTACTATAGGCCGGGTAATTCCGCTGCGGAGATCGATCCGGTGGAGCTCCGGGAAATGCTTCTGAACCACAGAGTTAGGCCCAATTAGATTAGGCCTTGTGGGCCGAAATTTATGGACCTTGGACTTGTTTTCTAAGGGGCCCGTTGGATCGAGGACTGCTGTTCGGCTATTCTGCTTTGATTGCTGGCTCTTCGTTTGACTATGTAGTCGACAGCTGGTTTAACTTTGGTTTTATTATACTACTAAACAAAGGAATCGTTTGATTACTATTATGAATTATCTGCCGTCGTTTTAGAGCAAATCGAATTTAATCTTTCAAAGTGATTAGGAGACTTAATTATGCGTGTGATTAATCAGCTAATGATCATTAAGTGATGCGTGTTACTGTTATCTATTGGATTCAACAAGCAATTAGCCAATTACACATTTCTTTGGAAACAAGCAAAGGGCTTGGTATTGTTTTCAGCCCAGCATGCGATGCCACAGTGGCCCACTAGATAATATTAGCGGCTCTGGGCCTAAGGCCATACAGCACATTAGTTGATGTCCAGTATAGCTGGAATTGAAGACAACGAAGTCCAATTTGTAGTAGTAGGCTAGTAGCTCATCTAATATGCTCCAGACTGCATTGTATTGGAGTATAAGAAAGTGATAAAAATAGGAGACATGATTTTTCCAAACAATTCGAGTTAGTGAAAACAGTAAGTTTATGATACTGTATCAGAGTTGGTTTGTTATTGAATTCATGTGTTTAAGTTCTCATGACCCTCAATATTAATCACTATGTTTAAAGCACATGGTATAGTAGACGTGTGTAAGAGTGTGTAATGGTCTGGTAAGTACTGGACCGCACCATACCGAGTATAGTGAGGTCTGGTCTTTGGTCCGATGAATTTAATAGTTACCGAGGAAAATAAGATCGAATTGATTTTTGGACCGGACCGAATTTAGCGAGTGTAATGATGGTCTGGTCCTTGGTCCTAATATGTCTTTCACTAATGTCCCGTTGTTCTCATGAGTTTGGTCCGTACGGAACCATTGCACACCTCTAGACATGTGCAAATCTCACAAGTCCATGAGTTCAGCGTCTAAAGAAGTAGTTAAGTATCATATATAGACATTTCTCAACAAGTCGAGTCATTAGAACCAATTGGTTTATATTAGTTCCTTCAATCTATACCACTAGAATTTTTCTTAAGTCAAGTCATTAAAACCAATTGGTTTATATTAGGTGCTTCAATTTGTACTACCAAAGAGGTGGGATTGTTGTTCTTACTTTATATATTTCCTCACAAGGGCTGGGGGACCCTTAACTAAAAATGGCAAAATCCAACAATGGGGTCCTTTTATCATTGCGATAGTATCCCCATCTCCTCAGACCAACGCCCCAGGAGCACGTGAGTGAGAGAGAGAGAGGAAGAGAACCTCAAAGATTGGTGGGAAAAAATAGTCGAGATTCATAATGATCTACTAATACCAAGGACACAGATTGCTTGCAATCTTGCCTTTTGGCTTCCAAAAAGATGTTAAGAAGGAAAAGCAAGAAAAGGGCTCCAACCAAAAGGCTTGTTTGCTTTCTCTACTATTATGCAAGTTCCCAAAAGGACCTCTAACTTTGCCTACGATGGTGAGAAATGAAAGAGATATGGGTTGGGGAGGAAGTTTGGAACAAAAGTACATGATGTCCCTTAAACTTAAGGGGTCCTAGTCCTACTTTCTTATTATGAATGGTCTTTGCTTCCAATAACCAGTGTCCCCCAAATGCAGCCTTTCCAATTTGTCTTCTTCCCTTTGCCCTCTTCTTCTACTTATTACTCCCATTTTAATGGCCACCCAGCACCATCACCATTCACCACCTCCTTGTTTTCTTCCACTTCATCATTTCCTCATACTTCGTTTTCTCGTTCAGTTCCTCCCTGACTTTCACATGAGGGTCCTTGTTTTCATCTTTCACCCATCCTTTTCAACTTGATCATGTAAATATACTTTTGAGACCTTTCATGACTCCCGCCCTATGTTAAAAGGTTGTGCCCAAAAAAGAGGCGGTGGATCGATAACGAAGCATTGTGTTGTAAAATGTATGGAGCGGCTAGTGGTGATCGTGTTTTCGTGTTAATAAAGGTGTCGAGTTCAGAAGATAACACCAATGATGCTGCTATAACTTATGGTAAGAAAATGAGCTTACCATGCTTAATTGTGTTTCCTAAACTTCAAGTTTTTTGCATGATAATATGGGCTTATATACATGGGCTTTGGCTCACAGATAATATGCTTACATGGGCTTTATCTTCCTCCAAACTGACCAAACTCTAGACATGGTATTGGGTGTTAGGTTCCAACTTCTAACCAAAAGTGGGTATTCATTCATTCAAGTAATTATGGCACAAGCAAGGTGCTGATGTCAAGAGTCTACGAAAAGTTCAAGGATCTAAGATCCAATCTGAATGGGAGAGATTCCTCTATCTTGCTGACTTAAGTAGTTGTGGTACAAAGTAGATAGAGATACGATCGAACCAGCTGGTTCGAACCTACTACTTCAGTTCGGCTTGGTCACTCCCCGGTTACAGGGTCAGACCCGGGGTAGGTCAAATTAGTTACCATCTACCATTTCACTTGCTGCTAGGTTGTAATGTCAGAGACGAGGACTCACTATTCAGGTTGAAAATGAAAACTCAATTCCTGATGTACACATACTGCTAACGAGAAACTGGTAAGAAAAGAGACAAGTACCAGAGTACCCCAAACCCCACCACTATTTTGTAGGATAGTAGCTCACAATTTATTGTCTTTCACCATATGGGTATTGGTGTCAAGATGAGATGGATCATGGATGGTAAAATGCAAGTAAAAGAAGCAATCCCTCCTTCAAGCTTTCGATATAAATCTACTGCCTCACCGCCATCCACAGTATATTTAATGCCCACAGCAACAAGTGTTTATTATACAGAGAAAGAGAGAGAGAGAGAGAGAGGGAGCAATCACCAGACATGTGTGCCCATGTGAGAGATCCAAAGCTTCTGCAGAGAGGGGGGAGAGAGAGAGAGTTGCTTCTGATAATACAAACTTGCCATTGCACGATGATCACTCTGCCTTCAGGCCTTTAGCATTACAATACAAGAACAACTAATAAACAAATTACAAACCAGAGCTGTTGAAGCTGAAACAACTCTTCTCAACTACACAAGAGAGAGGTTAAAGAATTGGAGTAAATACAAGCCGAGCTAAAGCTGGCAAAGGCATCTCTGCATCACGTTCACAGCGACAACAAGGGAAGAAGAGAGATGACGAGACAGAGAAAGTATTCTTGGTCAAAGGACTCACTAATGCTTTCTCTCTCTGTGTCTCTCAAACTCCAGGCATTAAACCCAAGTGGTCACACTCAAGCTTCCCGCAGGGAATCAGCTCACCTGGGTTTTTGCTTTTCGATGGAATTTGTATCTAAAAGGACATAACAAACGACTGTTGAGAAATATGACTAGATAGGAATCTAATTAGATGTGATCCAATCCATGAACTCTTGAAGAAGTGGTTGGTGTTATGAAACTACAGATGTGGAAACTGAAGATTGTAGAGATTGCAGCAAACAAGAAACCAAGGGCAAACTGATCAAGGAAATGAACAAAAAGATGACTACTTTAGCCGAAAATGTACTGTGTAGTAGCGATGTGATATAGATTATAGACCCAGCAAGCAAACAGAAGAAATAGATTCGTTCAATCACACTCTTTTTTAATTTTAGCTGCTCACAGTTAACAATGAAGGAATGGCAGCCAAGTTTGGAGCAGCAGCAGCAGAGTTCCTATTCCCAGTTTCCCTGATAACCTGATGATGATCTCTCCTCCCATTCTCTTTACCAGACAGCTTGTTGCTTCCTCCAAATGCCCTCATAGGGCTAGCAAATGCCCAGGTCCAGCTCCTCGTCCTTCCATGGCTCAAATGATTGCCGCCAGATTTCCCATTCATTTCCTCAGCTGACGATGAAACCCAGTACGATGATGACGATGACGACGAAGATGATGAAGTTATGATGAACCCACCAAAGATTCCACCACACTTCACCCTTTCCTTCATAGCCCCACCACCAGATGTTGAAGATTTCGGCTTGCCTTCTCTCTGCGATTCGACTCTTCTTAGCGTGCAGTCGCCGAATCCAGTTGAGATTCTCTCGAAGAAATCCCCTGAGAAGCTCCTGCTCCCGCACCCAACGGATCTAGATCGAGACACTTTCCTCTCGAACGACGAAGCAGCAGAGTTTGAGCTCGTAGCTTGGCTATTGGGGCTTTCATCGTCTTCTTCCACAACCACCATCTCTGTTCTTCGTGAAAGAGACGATCCCCCAACTCCTAAACATCTATCCTTCCGCACAGGCGGAAGAGGGTTTACAGAGGAAGCAGAGCTAAACGACACCGTGCTGGAACCAGCAGCTGAAGCTGGTGATGCTGCTGCGGCGGGAAGCGAGGAAACCTTGTGCTGCTGATGATCGATTCTCTTGTGATTTGCAGCAGATGAAGGATTGAGGTTGGATTTGACATTGCTGGAGGAAGAATGGTAGAGGAAGGACCAGAACCCACCACGCTTGCGAGGGCTGAAATCCTCCCCGCCGTCGTCGAAGAAATGGGTGGATCTTCTCCCCGGAGCAGCGGTGGACTTGCTGCGCTTGAACACCGCTTCGCTCTGATTCTCGGAAGATGAAGACGACGCAGCCATGATTTTCTTCTTCTTCTTCGCGAGCAGGAACGGGATCCTCGCCTTGCGGAGGGAAGAGCTGTAGTACTCGCTACTGCCGTACTGACCATTATTTCCATTACCATTACTCATTGCGTCATTCCGTCGAACACCTCGTGCGCACCCGTACGCGGTGGATGATGAGGAACTCGACGGGCGCACAGCCAGCGCAAGTGAAGTGGCGGCCGCGGAAGCTGCCGCTGATGGGACGGCGGCGGCGGCATCAGATCTGAAGGAAGGGGGAGAAGAGGAGGAGGAAGTGGAGGCGCGAACGGATAGCGGGAAAGAAGAGGAGACGAGCTTGCCGAGCTTCTCCTGGAGGCAGAATGCGCAGATCCCACCAGGGTTGGTGCGGGAAGGGTGGTCGCTGCATTGCATTCCGTCGTCCATGTCGTCGTCGACGACGGCGGCCCCGACGCCTACCTTCCCGCCGCCCTTGGGTGGTGCTGCTGCTGATGCGTCCATCATCGTGGAGGTGGAGTTGTTGTTACTGTTGGGGGAATGGGGAGATGGGTTTTGATGGGTTTGCAGAGAAATGGAGAGTGGAAAGAGAGAGAGGGTGATAATGGAGGGAGGGAAGAAGGAGACAAATGGTTGCAGAGGGGGGAACTGTTGTTGTTGTGTGTAAGTAATGGAGGTGAGTGAGTGAGGAAGAAGAAGGGGGAAGAGGGGAAATTGTTAACTAAAAAGAGGGGAAATTAAATTAAATTAAATTAAAGAGGCATTGAATTTTGGGAGGGAGAGGAGAGGACTGGTTAGGGAGAGTCCCCAGGAGCACGTGCGACACTGACTGACCTATACTCCTCCTCCTTGTCAATATATTTTTCTATGAAAGATCTAATTATTATCATTATTATTATTCACAATAATAATTTTAGGGTTCTCAATTCTCATTAATTTTAATGGTCGCATGAAATAATAAACGCATTGTTCGCTTGAGTTGTTCGTAATTTTATATGAGTTATCTAGTATCAAATGAATTATTCGTTAATAAAAAAAATACACAAGTCATTATATTTGACTACGAGATGACGGGATCAATAGTAGAACGTACGTACGTGTCATTTTAGGTAGAAGGTGAAATACATGAGATTAACAAAGCCGGAGAAGAATTGGAGATGACAGTATATGCTTAATGAAACGAAATTGTTGAATTACGATTAGTAAATTTACATTGACGCACGAATTAATTAAATTGATATTCAATAAATGTTAGCGATAAATTCAGGCTCATTAGCATTCAACGACACATTGAGAACAATAATTGGTCCAGCCCATTTAATTCAGCTCGTTGTTGGACCGAACCAGGTCAAGAAACTTATGTTGGTCAGGGGCAAAAAAACCAATTAATGGTCCAACCCATTCCAAGATCTTCATTTTCTCCGGATTTTTTTAACTAGAAATCAGGTAGGGGAAAAGGGAAATTTTAGGGGTCGTTTGGATTGAGTATTTGTATGAGTTATTTGGGTTAAAATAACTCACAATGGGTTATTTGGACGGAAATAACTCATTTGGCAGCGTTTTACGGAAATGAGTTATTTGGACAGTGAGTTATTTACAAATAACTTATACGCATGTGTTATTTCGATATAACTCGTTTTATCACTCTGCTTTTACCAAATATCACATGTCTAATACCACATTTGCATGGTTCAACCAAACGAGATACTTTATTTCAATTACCACTGAAATACCACATGAACAATGAATGAGTGATTTGACTCTACAAATACCACATTGACAATTAACCCATCCAAATGACCCCGTACGAAATGCGCCCGATTGGGAAATGCAAAATAATGAAAAATAAAAATGTGGAGTGCAAATAAAACAAAACAAGACATCTGACCGGCTAGGCTAGAGTCTAGACGCCTTTGCTTTCCCGTTGCATGCCCGATTCATAACAAAAAAAAGCCTGGTCTCCCTCCCTTGCCTACAATTCCCAATATTTAAATTCTTTGTTTTGGGCCTTGGCCCATTTGAGCACTACAAATATCTCCTTCCATTTGAGCTCTCCAATTTTTTTATTTTTTTTAGAAGCCTAATCCTACTTAAAAGAATAAATCCAAAAACTAGTTATACGCAGAGACGCAGAGTAGACCGGCTGCTTTGGGTGCTCAATTGCTCATGATGCGTCCTTCCTTCCTAATTCCCAGAGATTCCTTGGGCCCATATGCTGACACGTGTCTGTCAAACTCACTGCAAGCCCACACGCTAGCTTCCACCGTCTACTCTGCAGTTTCTTATCTCTCCCCCGTTAATTCTCGGAAAAAATCCAACGGTACACATATTTTTTAAAAAAATTCTCAAAATACACACGTTATGAAAAAAATTCCTAATATACGCATGTTTGGGCCTTCACCGCGTCAGACTAAGGCGGTGATTGCATCACCGTGTTAAAGAAGAGCTGTGATGCGTTAGAGAAAAATGATGATTGCATCACCGCTGTAGACAAAAACGGTGATAGCTTCACCGCATTAAAAGGCCGCGGTGAAGGCCTGACCTGCGTCGAATATTTAAAAAAACTTAACTTTGTGCTCGGCTATCCGATCGTGATGAAATTTTTTTTGATTCCGCATAATTTTTCGAGATCTTGCAAGCCGCAAACATTATGCGGAATCAAAAAAAATTTCACCACGATCGGATAACCGAGCACAAAGTTATGTTTTTTTAAATATTTGACGCAGGTTAGGCCTTCACCACCTTTCTCTAGAGCGGTGATGCACCAGTGATGCAATTACCGCCTTCCTCTACAGCGGTGAAGCAATCACCGTTTTCCTCTAACGCGGTGATGCAATCACTGCTCTTCTTTAACGCGGTGATCCAATCACCGCCTTAGTCTGACGCGGTGAAGGCCCAAACATATGTAGATTGAGAAATATTTTTATAACGTGTGTATTTTGAGAATTTTTTTTTAAAACATGTGTAGAGTGGGAAATTTTCCTTGATTCTCCTCCTCTACCGTCTACAGTCCTATTTTCTTCTTTTGATATATTTTTGCATATGTATTTTGAGTTTGGATCTAATGGGGTTGTGGGCTGGCTGATATATCATATATCATCAGGGATTTTCTTTCTTATTGGGATCATGAATTGGGCCTGTGAATGAGTGCTCTTTCAAGTCCATTCTGAGCATTATCCCACAACTCTACGGCCCCACGATACAGTAGCAAGTTTGGATTCCAGCCACAGCTTCAAGTTAATTGACAACAAATATTAGGCAAAAACAATCTATCCATTTTCCATTAGTAATGGTATAAAATTCATTTTCTTATATTATCTACCAATAATTTTAGCGAGTTGATACATTTGTTTTTAAGGATGTACATATTTTTCGAAACGTTTATTATTTTGATGGCTACCCATTCATTTAACAAAATTCAGGGGTACAGAAGTTGCAGAATTCGTGTCTCACCATTCGTGATATAATCACGCAAGAGTAGTATGATTCGTATAAGTGTTTGGACGAAAAAAATTTATAGGCTTTGCATTTTGAAGTTTTGTACCCTATCATTTCCTGTGTAATAACGAGAGAACAAAAGCGGGAAATATTCAGCTAGCTTTGTTAAAGAGTTTTTTGAAAATGCATGTGCTTGTATATTGTATTAGTAATCAAAACCCCCACGACTAGGTGCAAAAGATGATCGACCAAACTGACTGAAGAAAATTCTTTCAGTTGATCTTTCCTTCCTCCCCTTGAAACCATTGTTGTGGTAGAAATGGGGATTTTTCTTCTATGGAGACAGGAATTTAGAATTATATATATATATGGCAAAGGCTAGTGTACGCCCTATTGAGTTTTGTTATTTAGACAGTGAATTAACCGGAGTTTGGGACATGATACTATATCCTAACACCTAATGGGTGAATCCCAATCCCCAATTCACGAACCCAAAGCATGAGATTCGTTTAATCTTAAAATAAAAATCAACGATTCTGATTCGTCGAAATTACCATTGATTTTCATTTTAAGATTAAACAAATCTCATGGTTTGGATTAGAAAATTAGGGACTGGGATTCATCCATTAGAGGTTAGGGTATAGTATCATGCCCCAAACTCTTGTTAAATCATTATATAAATAGCAAAACTCTATGAGGTGTAACCATATGGATGGATCGATTTTCACATATGCCCCATGCTTGCAGAATTTTTATTGGTGATGGCCTTCAAACCTGGCATTATTTTTTAAGTGCAGTCGCAGTGGATCGCAGTACACCTACAATATAATACAGCTTCTTCTTCTTTCTTTCCTTTCATTGTTTCCACAGTCAGAAAGTGAAGTTTTATTGTACTTGTGTGTGGAAGTCGTGTTTGTTTGGTTTATATAGCATTTTGTTGCTGATGAAGTGTTAGATTCTTTGTTTATGGTTTGATTAAAATAAAATACTTTTTTTCCGGTTCTCGGTTTCTTGAAATCAAACCTAGAACTTAATGGTTTTTGGTTAACTGAAAATGTTACACAGCTAGCCTAGCTACCAGTGCATGCCAAGTTCTTTCGTATTTGGATTGGATCCATCTCTCCAATATAGTAATTTCTTAAGGAAAATTCTTAGCTCCAATCATGGTTGAATGTAAAAACTCCAACCAGCCACATGTCAGTTTTCTATTGGTGAGTTGACCTTTTTTTTATATTTTAATTTTTGACTTATTTAGGATAAATAAAAAAATTAAATATTAAGGGGGAGAAAAACAAGTGAGTCCACCAATAACAAACTGACATGTAGATGGTTGGAACTTCTACGTCAAACCAAGATTGGAGCTAAAAATTTTCCATTCTTTAATATCTCAACGAAAATGGCTCATGTACATCCCTTCTTTTACCCTTCATGTCTTTACTTGTCACCTCTCTACTCCTAGACAGCAACTTCCATTTCATTTAACTAACTAATAAGTTAGATGAACTGCATGTTATAAACTTCTTCAGATCCTCCTCGTACATAGAAACAGGCAAAATCTTTGCACTAATACATGCATGGAACATACCCACAAACACAAAACCATTTCCATGCATGGCTCGATTAATGCAATGGATATGCCAACAATCAATTGACACTACTATCAACAAGCTAGAAACAAGTCTCAATCCAATGGACACAAACCCTAATCTTCTTACACACAACGATGATTATGTTTATATTATCTTCTCGACCTTTTTTTCCCTCCATGTACATGCTGTATCTTCACATCAGACTAGACAACTCATCGACCCTACAGCAATCCCAGCCGTCGGTTCCACATGCTGCCTGAAAAAACATACTGGCCGGTCCGGTTATGCATCAATCACGACGATGATGTTGGGAGAGGATCCATAGATTCCATCCATCCACATGTTCTTCTCTCTCTCTCACTCTCTCGTTCTCACGTAGATATGAGCTGTGATTTGTGGCCA